TTTAGTTATATTAAAATTAAATTATTAATAAAAGGTATAAATTTTAAGTAAGCTTACTACTCTAATATGTTGTAAATATATTGTAATAAATTAAACATTAAATTTTTTAAATAATTAAAGTAATATTAAAAAAACAATGCAAACACCTTTAAATAGGTAAAATATAAAATTGATAGATGTACATATGTATATACATATGTATATCCCTAATATACGTACATACGTATGGATGGTAAGTTAAGTCCAGCGCTTAACACCATTTTTGATTTTTTTTTATTTTGGGAGAAAATATTTTTTCTCCTCACCGGTCTGTCCGGCGCCTAACGCAAATTTTGCGTGCAATCCTAGATTAGTAGAAAGAAGCATAATTATGTATTGTTATATGTTGCATATATTTACATATGTATACTAAATACAAGCAATGCATTTGCCTAATTTCAACATCTATTTAGTTTGCGTTAATCTTTTGTCGCGGAACGTTATCAGTGTTAAGTTTTTGAGAATTTTTTTTTTATTTGTGGTAAAATGGTAAGTAAAGTGTAATAAAATAAAATAAAAAAAATAAGAACATTAAAAGTCTATTTGACTTTTAATTACAAATTATATAATAACATATATAATATTTAACAATTACATATTTTTATTTTTATTTAAATTTGTAATTGAATTATAACTAAATTTATAATTAATAATTTATAATTAATTATTCCGGAATCAAAATATATTTCCATTATTTTATATGGGCTACCCGGTGATCCCTGTGATCATTTATAATGTAAGTATTTTAAATATTCAATAATTTGACACAAATTTTGTACATACATTTTTATTGATATATTTATTAATAACATTTAATCATATTTGTATCTTTCAGCCTCTGCAACATCAGCCGCAACAATGTTGGCGACGTCAGCCACAGAACAATGGGCGAGGTCAGCCAGTGGACGAATGGCGTCGTCAACCACAGGACGCTCGGCGACGTCAGCCACAGAATAATCGGCGACGTCAGCCAGTGGACGAACGGCGACGTCAACCGCAGGACGATCGGCGACGTCAGCCACAAAACAATCGGCGACGTCAACCGCAGGACGATCGGCGACGTCAGCCACAAAACAATCGGCAACGTCAGCCAGTGGAGGAACGACGTCGGCAGGAAGAAGAGCGTCAACGGCAAGAGGAAGAGGACCGCCAACGTCGTCAAGAAGAGAATAAAGAAAAACAAAAGAAAAAGAAACAATGTAAGTTTTTATATTATATTTTTTTTTAATTGATATATATTAACATATATATTTCTATTTATTTCAGTTTTCCAATTGCGGCGTAAGCTGAAGATGGTCCAAAAGGAAAATGCCGAATTATTAAAGAAAAATGTTTGAAACGACCATAATAATATACAGAACGTGCTAACTAATGTGAACTAATTCAGACAGAGCAAGTTCACATTGAAATTTGAAATTTTTTTGTGTTTTTCTAATTTTATTAATAAAAAATATAAATATAAATGTAATTATTAAATTTTTAAACATGTATGTTTCATTTATCTGATTAATTTGCTTGTTATTAACTTTTTAGAAGCGCTAACATTTTTACTTTTAACAATAATTTTTTTTGAAAATAAGCTGTCACTTGCGTTTGTACTTTATTTCGAGCAAGCATTTTATGCACCCGTTTCTCTCGACAATTCTTCAGTACTATTAAATGTTTGGTAACACGATTGTCTTCTCCCCAAGCGATTACTTTATTGAATGCGGTTAAAGCTTCTGTCGAGCTAATAGTTCGTTGTTCACTAGCCCTTTCGTCTTCATAATCATTATCAATTTCATTATTCTCAATGTCTAGTTCAACACACTATCTCTCCTCATCTAATCTTATAATTTAAATCTAATTCAGCTAATAAAGTGTTAACTTTAAAATGGGTGGTTTATATCAGCAAGGTATTGCTGCAGTAATGTACTCAATGAAATATCGTCTTCAATATTGAAGTTTTGTTCAAAATTTAGTAAAGTTTTTCAACATTTTCGGATTGCTTCAGCTTTGATTTTATTCCAATGTTAGATTTGTGATAACGTCTTTAAGCGTTGACTTGGCCAGCGTTAAATATCATACGAATGACATTTGGTTTATTGGTTGAATTAAAGGAGTTACATTTGGTAGCATGTATACTACAAAAATACTACTATCATCTAACTGCAAGACCTGTCCAGAAGGGTGGCAAGCAGCATTGTCTAACTGTAGAATTGTCTATGGCATCTAAAATCTTTGTTTTACTTTTTTTTTTATCGTACAAACTGAAGTACATATTTTTGATTTGTACATTTTGCGAAGAAAGCCTATCCAGTATACCAAAGAAAGCTGACGCCTAGAAATTGAAATAACATTGTAACAAAAACAAAATATGCTCATGTTTTTGATAATTTATATTATTTATAAGCCTTAAAATAAAAAAATAACAGAAAGAATAAAAGTTTTCAGTTGTTCACATAATTAAATCGTCAACTTGTTCACTCTATAAAATATCACGTGTTAATTTTTTGGGTGATTATTTTGTCCACATAAATGGATGTTTACTTAATCGAGTATTCACATAACCAAGAGAATAGTGTAATTAAATTTATATTAAAATAAAATATCTTGTATTTTTTATTGTATTATTATATATTATTTTATTATTATTTTATTATTATTTTATTATTATTTTATTATGTTGTATTTTTTATTATATCAAAATAAAAATAACTTTTGATTTTAATTTAAAAAATTATTTATTATTCATATTAAAAAATTAATTATCACAACAAAATACAGGTTTGGAACTTCCATGTAGTTACCGATTAATTGGCAACACAAATACTATTGTATTGTCAATAGGTTACTTTTTAATCAAATGGTCAGTAGATACCTGTCCATTTCATACTTATACGTATACTATTTATACGTTATATACTATTTACTTCTCCTTTCCTAAATTAGTAGTTGTAGATCTGCACTTAAGCAAAGTTAGCCTTGCTCAAACTTCTTGAACTATATAAGAACGTACTCTTAGATGGTGTTGTCATATCTAAACAATAGTTTGTCTAGCTACAAGTAATC